AACCTTTGTCTAGAAAGGAGGATCAGTTTAATAGCACAATACCTACCAGGAGTATTAAATATACAAGCAGACCTAGCCTCAAGACACAAATTCAAACAACAGGATTGACAACTGAACTTAGAAATATTCAACAAACTAGATTCAAGATAGGATCCATTCACAATCGATTTATTTGCTAGTCAAACAAATATTTAACTAACAAACTACTATTCAAGATTCTTAGACCCATTAGTACTAGCTACAGATGCATTAAAACAGAACTGGAGCAATAGAACTTTATGGGCGAATCCTCTGTGGATTCTCATTCTCAAGATATTGTCCAAGACAATTATAGATCAAGCAACTTTTTGTGTAATAGTGCCTGGGTGGACAATGGCTCCATGGTTTTCTTTACTAATAAAGATGCTGATAGACTTTCTGATAATTCTTTCAATACATAAGGTTCTGACTCTATTGTAAACAAATCAACTGAACCTGCTTTGCAATCCAAAATGGCAAATATTTATATGTCTAATATCAGGATGAAGCTACAAGCAAAGAGGTTTCTTGAGGAAGCTATCAAAAGAGTAAAGCAAACATCAAACAAATTGTCAAACATAATAGTGAGATCTGCAATTAACAAATAAAATATTTGGTGTAATAAAAAAAATATAGATCCTATACTATGCCCTATAGAAGATATAATTGAATTCTTAAATGATATGTGCAGCTAACAGAAAGCATACAACACAATGGCTTTATACAGATTAGTAATAAGTGAGATATATAATCACATAGATGGCTACCCAATAGGAAGGCATCCAGATATAGTGAAATTCATAATAACAATATGAAAATCAAATCCACCACCTCCTGCTTCAGATGACACAATAGATATTATACCTGCACTAGATTTTATAGTCAGTTTAGGTCCTAATGAGAATATGTCGATTTTGGATTTATTACGTAAAACAGCATTCTTAATCGGCTTAAGTTTGGTGTCTAGGCCTAGTGATCTACACAGAATAGAGCTAAGGACCTTACAAAAGACAAACCATGAAATCTCATTCATAATCACCAACCCTAAAGAAACGAATATATCAATTTCTCACGGTAAAAACAAGAGCATATCAAAAAAAATCTTTATTGACTATTATGAGGATACAGACTTATACTCAGCAACTATTGTATTGAAACTACTAGAACAAACCCAGGAATAGAGAACCACTACAAACTATCACGAACATCTGTTTTTTTTACTACTTTATCTTACTGACAAGCCTTAG